AAATGTCGCCTTCGTGTGGCGCGCGGCCTGCGTAGATCTCATCCCCATCGGCGTCCGTGCCAACCCTCAGCGCGCCGGGCGGGATGCTGCGCTGGCTGAGGCATGCGGGGACCCAACGGTATGTACCTGGAATAAATGAGCAGACAAAGTGTTAATACATACGAGAGCAATAAGTAACAAATTGATAAGCTTGGTATTTAATAGTGGACTGAAAAGGCTAACATTTTTGTAGTATCAGAAATAAATATAAATGATAGATAAGCTGTATGTAGTGTAGAATGTAGAATGGTTTGAAAAAGTTTAAAAAAAGAATTTTGTTTTTTTTATTAAAAGTTAATCGTCTCGATTAATTAAAATAACAAATGTTTTGATTTCCAACGACACAGAAAGCGACGGCCAACACTCTGTATGGTATCACCGAATTAAAAATATATAATTTTTAAAGTAGTATTTCAAAAAGATTGGTTACGGCAAGGAGGTAGATAGGTGAAGGAAGGGAACCATAGAGAGGATTGGCCCAACATTGGCAGACAACACGGAATCCCTAGATAACACCTTTGTACAACCCTAGCAGGGTTCACTTTGTAATTATGTATAACCCTAGTATTGTCTTGATACGTTTTCTAATGATAATAAAATAGATAATATAAAAAAAAATATGTAAAATACAAGCAATGAATGATCTATTGTAAATTTCGTATACGTGGAATAAATGATTCATATTTTTTACTTGAAACATTATTGTATTCGATAAATTGATAAAGCTTGCTCATAACGGATTAGATTGCTAAAATTTCAACATTCGGATTTATCGATAAGATAATGTACAAATAAAGAAAAATAAACTGAATCATTACCCTACAATAACTTAATTTTTATGTATTGTACTAAAGGTGTTATCCCAACACTACCCAAACCGTAGCCTTGATAATAAACGTTACATGTAACATCCGTCAACAATTGTAACGTCACGTTACTGTAACACGGATGTAACGTGCATCTAAAACTTACTCCAAGGCAATTCAACAGTCTCTCCCGGTAATTCTGGCACTATTTCTTCTGGCTCAGCGTTTTCTACCACATCGACGGGACCGGGAGGAGGAGGGTAAGGGTAAAAGTATGCAGGGTGGTACGGGTAGTAGATGACGCCCGGTGGAGGGTACATTGGGGGAGGATGGCCTGGGGCGCCTGGTGGGTAGCCTGGCGGGTAACCGTGCGGGGGAGGGGGTCCGCCGTAACCATAATAGGGACGTCCTGGATAAAACATTTATCACAATTTTAATTTTCATAATTAGAAGAATAATTCCTTGGGTGGTACTGACTGATAGGACTCCGGAATAGTTAAAAAAAGTATTTAGAAATCTATTACGAACTCTTATCAAACAAACTCATTATCAGACAAACAAATGAATCATATTGGTTCTGGCTGGGGACGAATTGTAAAGAATTCCTTCTTAAGTAGTATAAGTTTAAAGGTCCGTACGTTGATAACATTTTAGTCTATACTATTATAATAAAGCGTAAACACACACTTCTTTGTTGCCTAAAATGTCAGCAATTATAGGATATTTTTGAATAAATCTTTTGTAATAAAAAGCCCTACACTTACGTCATGCTTTAGGCTATATATTTTCACGCGATTAAACTTAGGGAGTAAATAATTTGGATAAAAACCCTAATGTGGGAAAGAAACCATAAGTTGCTGCTAACATCAAGAAAAGCAAAATTGCCATAGTAAGGTAATTGGTATTTTGACATTTGCAATTGTTTATTTGACACATGTAAACAATAAAATAACATTTTCATTAGTTTATACGGATGAAGTCGCAGGGGAACAGCTAGTATCTAATATTTATTAAATCTATTAGTTTATTTTTAATTACCCATAGACAATAACATTTAACGGTTATCATAAATGTACTCTTACAATAATAGATTTATAATGTCTCTAAGCATTTTATCAATAAGATACTATTCAAGTATTGTATTAACAAATGCGATGTATTTATGAAAACGAACATCAATCAATTATAATTTCAGAGAGTTTTATTTAAACTATCCTAAGGGACTCTTCAGATAATTCGCGTAGCAGTAAGTCCTGTTTAGTTTGTTGTTTCAGGGATAATAAAACAAATTCAATTATTTAAACACTTAAGGTATGTCCCACCACTGGCTGATAGAGGCTCAGATAGCTTAAAAATGACGTCACCTTAAGGGAGCAAAATCCGATATTTTCATCACATATTTACACGTTGGATTGTTATCAGACACTTTGGTGGGACAGGCCCTTAGAGTAGTTTCCAAGTTTCTGCTCACAACGTATACAAATGTATATATAGTATATGTCCTGAAAGATAAAGATATACCATATATATTATCAATATTTGAACTAATGAGTAATGTCAGCTTATTGTCTGTAATCCTTGGACAACTTCGCACCTATTCAGTTTTATTTGCTTTAAAACTCTTTGTCTATTGAGGACAATTGCCTTTACTTTCATAATCACGAGTATGTTTTAAATGTGACGTAGTTGACGCGAAATATGTCCTATGTCTAAACTTCCTGAATTATAAATATTTTTCAATTAATCGGATAGATAAATTCACTATCTACTTTTTTTATCTGTAATCCGAAATTAACTTTTCGAAGACTTCTTCGAAATACAAAAGCCGATAAAAAGTTTTTATCGTAAAAATAATTTAAATTTGGAACGTAGACAATCACAATGTTTGTGTATGTGCCAGTTGTTTTTCGTAAATTATATAGTTTTTGACGGTACCTACAAACACATAGGTTTAATAAGACTGGAATATCTATATTACTTTAAACTTTATTTTTCGTGTTAGATTTGTTTTAAAGAATGATATAAATAACACTAACACAATTAACATTAATTTATTAAGTTGAACCACATATAAGAACAACCTATTTGAAAATTAAAAAAAAGTCACAAGAGAATTTCCCGGCAATTTCATTTATATCGCATTTTGAGGTTATTTATTTTTTAATGTAATATTAATCACAAGAAATTACTCTTATTATTTAGTAATTCGATTAAAATTTAATAAATGATTATATGCGTGGGTTAAAAGGGAAAATAGGTCTTATTATTGCACAATTTCTAGAATATTATCAAGTTTGTTATCAGTTTATCAAAATATCAAACAATACTCACCGGCCATCTTGTCGTTACGTCGTGAAGTTCACTGATGTACTGAGCTAGTAATGTACGATGTTGCGTTTTTATTCTACACAACTGATTCGATACATTTAATATAGATTAGTTAGGGAATTTTGATAAATCGAAAACTTGTACACGATAAATAAATGACACACCTATTGTGTTTATTCTCTAGAATTTTTACAGCAAACATTTGGTTAATTTGCTATATTAATATTACTATTTTCTATTAATTTAAAAATAGCTAATTAAATCTACAATGGGTATAGTTAAAATTAGAATAATCCGAAAAACATTTTAGTCACATGACTATATTTGGTGTGATTTCAGTTTTATCAAAGGTTAAGTTATCGGTTTTTCTCAATTTTTCTGCTTTAAAATAATACGAATGAAGTTAAAACATTCCGACATATTTCTATAATATCTTCATAATTAGTAAAGATATTCGCAATGAAAATTATTGCCACTGACGCATAATGCATAATAACATATTCATTTACATCGCAGACAAAGAAATGTGTACACAGTTGTATCTAAAAGTAAAATTACCAAAAACTTTTCTTGTTATATTTTTTTAATTAAATTTTTATTTGCTATCAAGTGCAATAATTAACATGGTAATAGTAAAGAACATTAAAAAGCAGTAAACAATTTTGATAATGAAAATTAATCACTGAACGCTATTTTTGACTGTTTTTAATGAGTTTTATATTTGTATTTACTCTTTACAAAGTAAAGTTTTCCATCTTACCAAAATTAATACTTGACCTCAAAAAGGCTTAGGACCTGTCCCACCAAATTGTAAATTGTCTGCTAACAATCGAACGTGTAAAATATGTGAGAGAAACATCGGATTTTGTTCCCTTATCTGACAGTGACGTCATTTTTAAGCTGAGCCTTTATCAGCCAGTGCTGGGACAGGCCCTTAATGAGGCATTTCTTGATGAGTCAAAAGTTAGATACTCATAATTACATCCTTTATGTGCGGGTCTGATGTCCTAATTATAATTTTCTTGTTTTTGTCTTCTTGTCTTTTGTTCTTGTCTGTTTACTGTCTTTTACAATTGATTGCACAAGCTAAGGGCAATTTAAATCTATCTTTCTTTCTATCAGTAGCGACCTCTAGTTTAGAATTACGTCAGAATAAAAAGACCAATTCAATCAAGACCTTTATTCACTTTGAACAATATTTCTTAGCATTAATAACTATTTGGGATACTTTGGAGAACTCTCCGAATGCTGGTCTGGTGGTCTTCTTTTTATTCACATCGAATGCCGCGTAGACGTGAACTAAATCTTTTAACATATCCTTCATTAACTTCTGGTAGAACTGCACACTTGGTCGGCCTAATTTCTCAGCTAGGAGGAGCATGGACGTCGCCTGGAAAAACATAAAGTTTATTGCTAGTAAATTATACATCTATGTGGCTTATAGGTATGTTTTAACTAAGAAGGTAGTAAAATGTTATCGTGATGGTGTTAACATAATTGTACCTTCGTTCTCCAAAACCTCAGCATTTCCCCTAACGTTGTACCTTCGTGTTTCTTTCCGACCTCCTTTATACCCATACGAAGATAGTAGAAATGGTGACGGCGACAAACTTCCCCTATATAAAAATACTTAATTAGACTTGCAATTAGAAATACACATTTGAAATAACGATGAATTTTGAATAAATTCAGATAGTGGGTATTTAACAAAGCCATTCTTACGTCAAGCTCTTACTCACTCCATCCATTTTCTACAAGTTATGAGATGTTGGTGGAAATTGGTCATCAATTCCTTACCACTACACGTATCTTCATCATCTCCATCAGAGCAATCTTTTTTACCATCACAAACCGCTTCAACTGTTATTGTCTGGTTGCTGTTACCTTTGCAGTAATATATACTCAATTTCTTTTCAATTTCACAAGCCCTAGCGCATTCTGGTGAACAGTACGTCTTTATACATTTGCTGTTCTTACAAATACAACCGTTAGAAGAAATAATTTTATTATTCCCTGTGTTCGAGTGTTTAAGAATTTTCACAATAACTTCGTTTACAGATTTCAAAAATTTATACATCTCATCGACATGGTTGGCGTTGTAAGTGTTTTTGATATAATTGCCATAAACGAGACTTAGTAAATCGAAACATTTGCTTCGTAGCATTCTAAGTTCGTCGATCTTGAGGTTTGGCTCCATAAGCAAATGTTGTAGCTTGTAAATGGTGTTGTACAATCGTAAAAGATCATTCCTCACTTGTGCATTTTCTTTGGAAGCCATTTTCATTTCTAGTAATTTAATGATTTGTTGAAATCCGATATTCGCTTCGAATTTGCCTCTTCCTTTACCTAGATGATACAACACAGCTGAAGAATGAGTTAGTTATTACATTTTGCGAGTAAAAGGAAAATTCCTTGAGTTCCTTTTACGATACAGATGCGTCAACCCTGCATAGCCAGTAGTTTTAACGAACTCTCCAGATAATTTTCGTTATGTACAATAAGGTTATTAGTTTATTCTTGTTCGGCTAAAAAAATTAATAACAAAATTCACATACCTGTACTACAAGAATCTTCATCGGACTCATCATAACAATCCAGTTTACCATCACATATTGTATCCAGATGCACGCTCGTTGACCCATTGACACCCGGACAACTCCACCGGCTCAAATCATACTTGAGTATACAAGCCTCGTGACAAGACTTGACACAAGTACGAGAAACACAACGATCTTTTTCACAAATGCATGTTTTTGGATACAAAGCACTTTCCCTTAAAACATCTTCTAAATCCTCGTCTAGTATACGATTGAATCTACGAGAATTATCAACCAGTGCAGTTGATTTTTCCTGTCGCGAACAAACTCCTTTGCTCAAATTTAACATCACTTTGTTTAAAGCTTCTGAAACTCTTTTTACGATTACCTCGCTGCTTTGAGTAATATTACTCTCTATAAAGCTATCTTTATAGTCTTTAACTACATCAATTTGCCCCTTTATCCAGTCACGAATTATCTTTTGTTGGACAATAGAATCGTTGGATTTTCCCAAAACACAATTAAGCTCGTAAGATCGATTCATTTCAAATAAAGAGTTTAGCGCGTAATCTAACTTTTTAGTTGCTGAAATTAAAATTAGAATAATTTTATAAGTAATAATAAAATATCCCTCCTACTTAAGTTTTCTAAAATTAACAACGACCAAAATAATTCAAACCTTGTTCTCGACAATGATTTTCATCCGCTCTATCCGAGCAGTCAACGATACCGTCACAGATATTATCTACTTCGAAAGTTTTCTCTTTATCGGGACAAGTAATTTTATTTAAATAATTTACTTCGGAACAAATCATAGCAATAGTAACAACGCAATCTGTATCTATTTCCTCAAAATTTGCTTTATTTTTGTTATGTTCTAATGGATATTTGCTAGCATTTTGTTTTACTATTTCTTCGTACTCGGCATTACTCATTGTTCTTCTCGAATTATGAAAAATATGCCTTTTTAAAATTTCATTTATGCTATTTGTAATTATTTCGTTATAATCAATATTGTCAGCAGTTCTTAAAGCTATTTTCTTTACCCGAGCGACTTCTAACATTCTTTTCCTAACGTTTTCTAAAAATGCACGTTTTTCATCAATTGTATGCAATTGATTTAAGTAGTGTTTGGCAAAAGAATCGATTTTATCGGTTACTTTCTGAGCCAAGTGATCTTTAACAATACGTTCTTCACTTTCATTCGAGTCTTCGGCTGTTTCTCTAAAGCTTCTATCATTCTTATTATTCAATGCAGGCAACGCCTTCGTTTTTATCCCTTCCATAATTATATCCACATATTTCCTTCCATCGTCTCCGAATGATTGAGTCGCTGCTAATTGCAGTTTTTGCTCTAGTTGTGATAATATTTTTGGTTTCTCTTCATTTGGTGCTTTTGATATTATGTTCAATATTTTACCAATTTTATTCATGATATCTGTGATGGCAACTTTTTTGCCTTCATCCTTCGTAATTTCATTTGCTAAATAAGAATTTTATTATTAAGTCTCATATTCTAATAACAGTTTAAAAATTCATGAAATACTTACCTCCTCCATAACGTAACACTGCGAATATAATAATTCCCCTACTAAAGGAATAACGCATTTTAATTTAAGGCGTCTGCATACATTTACTAAACCAACTTTAACAAGAATCTATTAATGGTTTTGGAACTTTATCGATAAGTGTTTAATTACAATAACACTTAATTTTCAATTTTCCGTAATTCATTTAATAGCGACATTCACAATTAAAAAAATCTATGACTGTCGTTTTTTATTCTTGTGTTTGCATTTGCGTTAGTGATGAGTAATTGCACTATACTGATGGAATCTTAATCAGAAAGAAAGTGCCAAAGGTACCCACAATCTCCAAAGTAAAATAAATAAATAATTTACCTCTTAGGAAAACTTACGACCCCTTTTCTGATCTTGTAATGATAACAGTAAGTTATGGTGTAGAAGTAGATAATAACATATAAGTTGTTGTATAAAATTAACTGATAAGAACTTAGACAAAAACAAAATAAGATTTATTATTGCTTAACTACGACTATAATAAATTATTCTCCCGATGGTTAAAATGTTTTTTGACGAGGAACGTAAAGTGCAATTTGACATTTAAAACTGTCAGGTGTTATTACCGACATTGACGTTACAATAACCTAGAATTTCTTATTACAGGATTTTTGTTTTTAAAGTTATCACTAATAAAAATAAAAAAGAAACTAAAAAATGAATATTTCTATGTTAAAAATTATCCAGGTAAGTAATGTCCAATATAAATTGATAACATATTCTATCCATTATAATAATTGTTAAAATAAATTTACAGCCTAAACTAGCTGATCAGGTAGTCAATCTGGCTCCAATATTAGCATCACAATTGCATACATCTGCACCTTTGTGTCGTGTTGTCTCCGGAAAGTACAGAATTACAAAGAAGAGAGACCGACCTCTAACATATGAAATGGCAAATCCGCCTCATTTTATCGCTCACCGCAAATCTTGGAACTCATGGAATACATGTATGTAAAAGCTATTTTATTATGAGAATATAGAAGTATGATACTTTCACGTATTTTGCTTGTAGCAAGCATTATGGACAAAACGACAATAGAGCCTGTAAAAGTTACGAATTTCTATAAGCGAAAGTCATTGTGCTCATATCAAAATATGATTAAAATGTTTGTATTTTCAAGTTTAAAAAAAACTTAAAAAGCTACTTGAAAGTCAATAGTTGTATTAATAAAAATTGATAAAACCATACTTATTATTTTTGTTGGAATTCCACAGCAAGTTTAAAAGATGGCTTACGCAGATCAGAAACTGTGGTCGAGGATGAATTTATAAGAAGATTTATGACAGGCACTTGGCATGGGCTTGTATGCAGTGAAGTGAGTTCATGTGTTTTCTTAGTTTACTAAGAACAGTAACAGAAATGGAATCATAGTTTTTTGTTATGAAGTTTATAGAAATTTTAAGAAAAAACTGTGTTTTTGATCTTTGTACCAAAGTTTACATTATGGTAATTTTCAGGTGATTATAAAAAGACAGTTCAACCACATAAGAGTTGCAGCTATCATAAGAAGAGCAGTATCGCCAACCAAAATGTATTTCCTACTCGGCTACACGGAGGAACTCCTGTCTAATTGGATCCAATGCCCTGTTACTTTAGAATTGCAAACTGTGGATAGCTTCCAGGATGTTGTATTCAAATATATTTAAATGTAGAGTTAAGTAAGCTTTCTTTGTTGTAAATAGAATAGGTAAATATCATTTGTTTTTTTTTTACCCAAACTAGAATAATCCCTAATTAAGACCTCAGCACCTTACCTGATACTGAATAAAAGATTCACACATTCACTAGAAATAATTAAAAACATGTATTGGTCCATTTAATATAAATATCCATTTTTATGAAAAAACTGTTTCTTTATATTTCATAGAAAGTGTGCATTGTCTTTAACCTCTGGAAAATGGTCACAATGATAACTTCCAATTCTGTAAAGGTAATGAATGAAAACACAAGCAATAAAATTCATATTCTCTTATAATTTGAATCATTCAAATATACATAATGTGTCAACAAACAGAACAGCGAGACGCGAGACGCGGCCTCACACACACGCACTCACTCATGCGCACTTGCACGCGGCCACTGCGCATTACGCACTACGCACTACGCACTGCCCACTACGCACTGCGCACTGCGTACTGCGCACTACGCACGAACGCGCAGTTGCCGCTGGGCACGACCGGGCGCGGACGAACTTCTGCACATACCATTTGTACTTTAACAATTCATTAACACTACTGTACCTTCTTTATTACCTACTAAGTAATTAAAAATAATATTCAATTTCAAAGGGGTTATTTACATTATTCATTTTATACATTTGCTATACAATTGTAAAGTCGATTTTAAATAAACAATGGATTTTTAATTACATTTTGTCTATAATTCGATTACTAATTTAAAAGTTAACATGATCTATACAATTTTATTTTAAAATCTAAGTTTATTGAAACATTTGCCGTCAAATAATTAAATACATTTTAAGCAAAGAACACTTCAAAGATACAAAGTAAGAATAAAGAAGGCACAGTTTACATTCTGAGAGTCTACAAACAACGAATATAAACGATCGTGTATTCAGATGTTACCGTCTCTCTGCCAGATATACTAGTATTGTCTATCACAGTGACATTAAGCATTTGTCCTTACATACTAGTGAGTCGAGTGGCGATCTTATCTAAATCACACCGAAAACGCATGTAAATTCTCTGTCGAGGTGCTTCAGAAAATATTTCTCCATAATATGATATTAATCTTTTCTTTAAAGTCTCAAACAGTCTTTTTATTGAGCTAATTCGATAGCAGCCCGTGGAATGTCCGAAACACGTTACAACTAGCGTTATAAAGACATTTTTAACAATATTTCATCGAAAACGAAATATGTATTTTATTTTTTTATAAAAAAAATCATACATGATAGTTCAGTAATTATACAAATACATAGAATAGAAGAATCAAATTAAAAATACAGAATTCGTTTGAATAAGTATCGACATTTGAGTTGGCACATCGGTCTCAAGAGTACTCTTATTGCCTATGTGCCAAATCAAATACTTCGTACTATTTAATAACCTCAAAGATTGTGTCGATTACATTATGAGCTTTTTTTCTATTTGGGTGTTATGTAAACGCTAGTATGTAAGCCATAGACTCCCCAGCTAAGGATGTGCGCAGAAGTGCTGGTAATCGCCCGTTGCTAAGCGTCAATTCGATACATATATTTACAAAATCAATGTACAGATAAAATCGTTGCAAAATTGAAACTCCTTTGGTAAACTAAAATTTGCAAAAAATCAAATATTTTGTTTTCATAACTTTAAGGTTTAATCTAAACATGTTTAAAAAGGAAAAGAACATTCTAGACTTCTACAAGACCACAATTTCATCTAGATTATCTATAAAAGACTTTTCTTGTCAAGAATATTTAATAAGGTCCTTATTAAGATAGTGTAAAAAATACTTTCATTATTAAAAAACATATAATTTTAACATCTGTAAGGCAAATCAAAAATAGCTAATAAACATTATTTATTGCAGAGATTCCAATAAGAAAGGAGTTTCAATGACGACAAACTGTTAAAATGTGTGTGTGTGGATAAATTAAAAATACAAATGAGTTTCCACTACACAAACTTGTACAAAGACATGTCTCTTATGTCAAAAGAGACATGTTTCTGCACATGTTTCGGCAGTGAAAACCCACATTAAGATACAACAAAATGTGCGACACAATGAGCCTACTCCACTAGTTATAAAGTAAAAATGTCGATCAAAATTGAATTAAAAATAAAGAGATCATATGCTATACAAACAGGACATTTATCTTGTAAAGCTCTCGGGTTTATTCGTGTTAAGGAGCTTTTCCACTAAACGAACGATAAATAAAAAAATCGAAGAAACTTTAATTAAAATTATATCCAATTTTATTGCTATTTTAACCAAATAACGATATAGTTAAAAAACGACAATTTTATTTTAATTTTAGATCTGTTTAGTGGTAACGCACCTTTTATGTAATGTCAAATTAGTCAAAAGTAAACATTAAAAATGTGGTCTAATAAGCCAAATCACAAACTATGGAGCACTCATACACACACGTTTATAACTTCTATATATCTATTTTGTTCACCGCTATAACTATATTATGCTTTGTACACTGATATTTAACGGTTTTCGAAATACAAAAATATCACGCTTTAGGCCTGCTACAGACGTTCAGTTCCGACATTTTAATTAATTTTAGTTCCTTTCCCTTTCCACCCTTTTCTTACGAGGAAAGGATGGGAAGGAAAAGTGGATTTGAAGTGGAGGAGACGCATAGGAAGGGAAAATATCCTCTTTATGTGCGTCTCCTCCGTCAATGAAGGGTAGGCAACGAATCTGCAATTGCGGATGTTTATGGGCAGCGGTCGCTTTCCATTTCGGTGGATTCAGGGGGCCGCTTGCTCGTTTGCCACTTTATATTATATAAAAAAAATTAAACAACCGAAATATTGTGTAGGCAAAATTTGAACTGTCAGTTGAACTGTATAGTTAAATTTCGCCATTTGATGCACAGTTTTAATTGATCAATTCTATATTTCAGTACTGAACGTATGTAGTCGGTTTTAACGTGTCAAGATAAATGTCAAAACTACGCTATCAAATGGATTTATGATCATTGACATTCACGATTGAAAATTCTTCTAAAGCGTTTAACATTTACATATATTATTGCAGAATTCGTTTAATATTAACCTTAATTTGTGCTCTAATAAGGTACTCTATGAATTTCGATCCGATATTGCACAGACTTAAACTATGATAATTTTACAAAAAAAAAATCAAAACCACCCATGATATGATGATGATATTAAAACTATCTGTACTTAGAAAAAAAAATGATAAAGCATCAGTAGTAAAATTTGATTCTTATAAAACTCCATTTGAATTCAGTTAATCCTAAAAGAAAAAATTTAATATACCCTTTACATGATTTGGCTTAATTTTTATACCAGATAGATCACAAGATAGACAACCCTATCACAATCGCATAATATTAAAAAAAAAACAGCACCTATCAGTTGAAATTCGTTAGACAAGAGTGAAAATACTGAAAATGTTAAAAATTTTAATTGTAACATTTTTCTCTAGATTCAGAACAAAAAAATCATGACTAATTTTATATGGGACAATTAACGCATAACAACGAGGACTTTCGACACTAAACTCGACTTTCAATCAAGAACGGAGAAAAAAATCAATAAAATGTACAATACAATGAATCCAACATCCAAATCAAGTCAATAGAAACATAAAACATTTGTACTGAAAAAAATAATTTCAACCAGAAAAATTGATACTACCATGATTTCAATAATTTAGTATAATATTAAAAAGTGCGTAAAAATCCATCGAAAATCTTCAGAGAGACACTGACCGATCTCTGTGATGACTAGGCTTATAATTCGTCACATCTCAGAAAGTAACCAGATCTTGTACGGAATATTGCAACATTACAGTCTTAAAAATAAGACAACCTATTCGATACTACATCTTCCTAACTAATCAGCCATGTGGAAACTCTGAACCGGTACTAAATTTCAGTTCACATAGAATTGTAGTTGAGTTGTGGCTCAACGACTAAATTGTCAGCTCACGGCTCCTTGAAACTGAACGATCACTACACATGGTGACGTAATTCTCAGTTCAAACCCTATTCATAACTATTGAAATACAAATTGAGCTGAACTGCGAAACAGTTCACCGATATTTATGCAAACATTGATATAAACGGTGTCTAACTAAATTTATCAATAAGAAAGGGAAGACTAAAAGAAATATTGCAATTCTCCGAACACGATCGTTCAAC